CTGTTGTTTGAAGCCACTAAGGTTTGGGTCCTTTGTTATGCAGCAGGAGTGGACTGACACACCACACGGCCAATAGCCCGCAGCTTTTTGGACTCAGTTGATCTCCCCTCCCCTGGCAGCATCAGCCTCGACTTTCTCCTGGTCCCTGCGGAACTTCACACAGGCCTCAGATGGGATCGGAAGCCTCATCCTCCTTCAGTGGCTCCCGAGTCCTGCCATGTGGAATCCAAGCTTCTGGTTCACCAGCCTCCAAGGCCAGACGGATGGGCCATGCCTCTGCCCAGCCCTCCTGTGTGCCCCAGCCCTGGCACGCAGGACCGAGCAGCTTCTCGTCCAACCCCACTGCACGCAGCTCACCACCCGCCCCTGCTCGTGCACCACCAACTTCCTCCACCAACTTCCACCTGACAGACTGACTCGTCCTCCTTCTGGGCTGTTACACCTGTTCTGGTTCACTGGCTCAGTCTCCAACCCAGCTCAGTCTCCCACCCATACCCTTGACTGCAGCCTCAACAGGAGGGTGTGACTGAGCATCCTCCCTCCCCTGCCATTGTGAAGCAGGTGTACAAAGGAGTCACGTGAAGAGTGAGACGGGATAAAAACACAAACACAAGTGCTCATGTTTACTTCCTGCACCCCTGGGGGTCATGTCAAGCAGCCCCCAAGATGGGTTCACCCCCGTCTGGAACCTTACCTTAAACTGGAAACTTGCAGGTAGACATGGGGTGGTGTTCAATACTTCCCAAAGGCTGGCAGAGTGTCTGGGCACATGGCACCAACTCAGCAAATATCTATGGATGGATGGATGGATAGTGGGTGGGTGGGTNACTGGAAACTTGCAGGTAGACATGGGGTGGTGTTCAATACTTCCCAAAGGCTGGCAGAGTGTCTGGGCACATGGCACCAACTCAGCAAATATCTATGGATGGATGGATGGATAGTGGGTGGGTGGGTGGGTGGGTGGATGCTTTGTGTCCAAGAGAACAAAGCAGAGGTTTAGCTTCCCAGATTAGTAAACTTCCTACCATGAAATGCCAGTCCTCAGTCCTGGACAGGCTGGTCATAGCCACAGTTCTGCAAACACTCCCCTATCCCTTCTGTGGGGAAATCAACTTAGTCTCAGTACCCTACTGAATAGTGTCAGGACATACATTGGATTCCTCTGTACAGTCTTTTCCCCAAGGACAGCCTCTGAGTATGTTCCCTCCAACGCCTTTTCTGGGCGTTTCTGCCACTAAGTGCATATGCGAATGGCTGAGCCACTTTCAGGAGTGAAGACTTGGGGAGAGGGGCTATGAAAG